ACTTCTTCCTTCACAGAGATTGATTTGAAACGCACAATGTACACTCCATTTTCAAGCAGTAAAATCTTATCTACACCCATTTTTCCCCATATTCTTCTGATAAAACCACTCATCACTGCATACGGCGGATTTGCCCCCAAAACTAAGCATAAAACAGATGGTTTCCAGTACTCAATCTCCTTTTGCACTTCCTCCTTCGTGATCTTCCCAACTTCACTATTATTAACTTTATTCGGTTCAATGAATCGAAGCTTTTTAGTTTGGCTATTCAGTAATTGAGCATTTATCCCATCCCAGACACTCTGCTTCTTCAGTTCATTATGCATCATTTCACCACACTCATCATTCCCACCATCATCTAAATCACTTCCCATAGCAATTATACGATGATTACATATTTTTTCGTGCATTAAATGATCTTCAGACACATTTATTGCAGAATTAGGGCTACGAACCTGGATATGATTCGCATTCATTGCAGTTGCTTCCACACTTCGATTTCCAACCAGATCTTGCTCCTGCTCCATCTTTCACCCGATTCCCTCTTCTTCCTTGATTTCCTTGTCATAGCGGACATCAATTTGTCGAAGGAATCGTTAGCTGAAGAAACACACACTTGAGGTGTTTTCGCCCCTAGTGTGCTGAGAGAATTGAGTACTTTGTTTACTCCATCAACTTTATTTTTTTTAGTTAACTTTTTAGTCTGTCTATCTGTCTAGTGGTATTGTCAGAGCAATTTTTAACCTCCAAGATAAAAATAAGTTATTTTTCCAAAACTGCCCTAAATGAGCTCAAACAATTATCCCCGTTAGTTTTTCCTTAATTTTAATCAGAGTTTCCTTCGTGTCTCTTTCTTCCCGTCTCACCCTAAATACATCAAACACCGCAAAAAATTCATTCGCATAGTCCCCTGAACCACCGTCCTAAACCTTGTCCCAATCATACATATTTGATTGATCCTATTTATGGAGTTTGTAACCGTAAAACCCTAACCTCCTAAACAAACTAATTCTTCGGCTTCTTTTTATTCCGGATACATCTTAATATCTTTTTCTTTAAAATTAAGCCACACCTCTTTTTTTTTAATCAAACTTGTCTTCTTCGCTGTTAATTAACCAGCCACCATGTATACTCAATCAAATACTCCCCCGTCCTTAATATAATGCATTTTAATTTTGTCTTAGATTTAACCTAGTACGCATCTTTAATTGACGAAAAAATCTTAAAAATATATTTTTGCATTCGTTGTATTCTCTTGATTGTTATTAAATATTTTTAAAATTTTTTTGTCAATTAAAAATAAATACTAAGTTAAACTTAAAACAAATCAAAATATCTTATATAAAAGACCGGAGGGAGTACTTATCATTCACTTTTCAAGTTCAAAACTTCACCAGCAAAGCTTTATGATATCTCTAGACCAGCAACCATTGTGTATGGTACGATCGATATTTTTTGACTTAGGATTTGTTGAGATTTACATAGCCTATTCGATAAAGTTTGAAAAGAAAAGAAAAAGAAATAATGGTTCTTTATCTTGTTTCTTGACGTGACTATTGGTTTGCTGAATATTGACTCCAAGTCGCCTACAAGTATGTCTCAATTTGATGCGGAAATGAAATTGTGAAGGAGAGAAAATTTGATGCATGGAGAAAACAGTCGTGATGATTCACAGTGGGGGTGATTGGTGAGGCGAGTACATAAGAATGATTAGAAAAAAAATAAGTTTGACTTAAAAAAAAAAAAAGTAACTTGGGAAAGATAATATTAATTTACTCTGGAGGCTAAAAATTGCTTTGACAATATCATTAGCCATTTATTTTTTATTTTTAGATCCAATACCAAATTTCTCCTCTAAAGATAGTAGAAAAGGTTGCTCATCTTATATTAAATGTAAGAATTGTAGTCTCTTGTGAAAAAAGGAACAAATTTTCATGTCACGATTTTCACCTTAACATTAATTATATCGTTTCGCTAACTTGATAATCTTCATGTCTCTTTCTTTTGTTTGTTAGCTACCGGTAACAGTGACACTGCGCCTTTGATGAGATTAATTAGTGCTCTTATACGAGTATAACTATATAGCACATAGGAGATAGAAGACAAACATAAAATCCAATCTTTCTTAACCATTAAAAAGTAGAAAAGTGGTAATTAACAGTTAACACGTACGAAACCCAGTAACCTTGTTGAAAAATACAAGCAAACTTAGAGTAATAAATAATTTAAGTAAATAATATTATGCACATGGAAATTGCCATAAAAAATGACTACCGGTGAATTCAACTTCAGGGGTTTTGATCAAATGCTAGTGGTAGGGTCCTGCTCTATTAGAAAGCTTCCTACTCAAAATTTGTGTCATTGACTTTTCTCTTTTTTTTTTTTTTAAAAAAATGGTAATTGGTTCTTTGTTCTAACAACATAACAATTCCTCAGTTGCTTTCGCCCATCTAAGAAAACAAATAATAGTTATTATAGTTTTTTTTTTTTCAGTTCAAGACATTTATTTTTTCTTGACACGGAGTCCATATATATGCATGTGCGTCTTTATTGGTACTCATAATTCTTCAAATCAGAAACCCCATCTTTAAGCTAGCTAGCTTTTAAAACCAGTACTCTTGAAGATGTAATTTGGTGTATGTGACCATTTGGCTCGATTAACTGCCTTTTTGCAACCAAGAAGTAGCGTCATGCTCCAAAAACTTATTATATCATGTCTCACTTTAATATATGATTTTTATGGAGGGTGGGAGGGTAGGGTGGGGTAGTTATGGAATTAGAATGGGAGATAGTTATTATTAGGAGGTCGAGGATTCGATTTTTGTTGGGGTCATCTAATTTTACTTTTTAAAAAATAAAAAAAAATATTTCAAAGTTATTGTCCAATTTTGATATCCACTTACTTTTAATACAATTTAAACTAAAAATAAAACTCTAAACTGACAATAATTTTAAGACGGATGATCAAGTATTCAAAGTGAATTGAATATTCTCTTTTGTAAATAGTGAGCAGAGTCTGGATCGGTAATTTAGCGTGAAATGGAAGAAGATCAAGATGGTAGTTGCGAGGGCATCCAATCTTCATCATCCTCTACTTGAAAGCAATATTTCTTGACCATTTCTTTGTTGACCTGCAGTGAAGGCTTCCAATGTTTACTCGAACAAGTAAATAAATTAGCATTGATGTTTAAAAAGGTAAAACCCAAAAATGATTGAAAAGCATAGTAGAATGCACCTGGGTTTTCTTTGTAGACATGCAAATCTGATAGTACATCCATATTTGATTTTTGTTTTGCTCGAAAACGCTTATGATGTACTTACAATAACGATTTAATTCATTGCAAGCACATCTTAATGAAATCGTTATAAGTTTTCTTCGCAATTTGTGACAAAATTCCTGAACTTGCAAGGTATTGTCTCACGATTACTCGCCTTCTCGAATCTATACTCGATATAATCAACTCCTTATGATAAATCAAGCCAAGAAGAAAAAGCCTTGAAAGGACATGAATGTTGTGGATTGTATTGTAGATTTTAGGTGCTTACCTAGCTCGTTGCAAGAATAACCTGCCTTTTCAAACTTTTAATGTAGTTTATTCTCTTTTTCAACACCGCCCCCGGAAAACATGACTATATAGTACTCATTTCGGCTCATTTCATGTGACAAATGACATGATCGATATATGTGACAAATGAAATCATATATGCAATTCGAAAAACGATTATGTATAAGGTGTAAGAGAATGAGATTCAACGAGTATTGTGATTGCTAGTCTAAGGAAGATTTTGGGCCGCGTTTTGGAGTTTGATAGCGTCAACAATCCAGAAATTAAGTCGTCAACTTGTAATAATCATTGTTGAACCGTTCTTAAATCTCAGCCACCGTCACATAGTTAAATCTTGCATACATAAGTGTTACAAAATTTAACGACCATTTATTGTTCATGTTCACTATAAATAACCTTCACCAACCAATCTGAACGGAAGCAAATGTAACTTAAGTAAAAATTACATAATGCCATATATAGCACAAAACTTAAATACCGAGATAAAATAGAGAATCAAAATCTAAAATGGGAAAAATAGTACATTTTTAAATTCATGATTTAAATATGAAGCATATCGCAAAGAAGTAATACTCTTAGCATAAATCCATATGCATCACGATCTCCTTGGTCTTTGGCCCTCTTGTTTGGATCAAACAAGTAAATGGAACCTAGCTAGAAAGCTTTGTAGTCAGATATTAGTACCTTCCGAAATATTCCTTCAGGCCGAAGGTACAAATTCTGAGATGGAAGGACAAATTCTTGTTCATCATCCCACATCCCTTTCAAAGTTGTTCTCTTTAGGAGGACTCCTCGAATTGATGTTGCATGGTACAAATGATGAAATGAACCATGTTTAACCCCATGGTTGTCAGGAAACCGAGACATGACGACAACATTCCCAAAACTTGGCAAATAATATAAATATTCAGTTTTCGGGTCCCAACATTTAGGGTTTAGCGTGGGGAATATTTGAAACTTCTCCTCAACAAGATAAAACACAACAAACGTTGACATCCGAATGATGACTATGTTGGTGCTCCATCGCTACACTCACTTCTGTTCCTACCATTAATGACAGGAGTATTATCTAAAGTTTTCACCATCGACGCTGATTCCACAAATCCTCGTCACCACTCATTCGGGTTATATTATTATATATTATTATTATTTTTTTCCTTGTTGTTAAAAGGTTATAAACTGAATTAAAATGACGGAGACCGCCCACTTAGATTTATTTGTTCGCGAGCCCCTTCTCGAATCTTCATATAATAATAATAATAATATAATGATTCCTCAATTTCAGCAAATTATATTAATGATAACCAGTTTACAATTGGATTAATACTTCTCGGCTTATATATAGGGTTCTTTAGCCTCTAGGGTTTTTACCAATCGTTCCACATCGTCTTCGACCCCAACAGACAAAACCTTTCGAAGCCGTCTATACAAGCCATGGAAGAATCCCGAACAGTATCAATCAATATCAACTTGACCATACAGGTCCCGCCGGGTGTCAAATTGAACGTCGGCGGCGTCGGTATCGTCGAAGATCAACACAACAACGACGTCGTCGGCGGTACAGTAGAAGAACAAGAAAACAACGTCGGCGGCGGTGGTACTGAAGGTCAAGACAACAACACCGTCATCGTTGATGATGATGATGAGCCCCGCAACAACAACAACGCCGTCGTTCCTTTCCCCGATGATGATCAGCCCCGCCGAACTAACAGCCACCACGGCGGCGACGACGATTTCAGCGACCCCTCAAGTATACCATATTCTCCAGTTTCTCCAACGTATTCTCCAGTTTCTCCTACGTATTCTCCAGTTTCTCCAACGTATTCTCCAACGTATTCTCCATGTCGCACCGACAGTGAGAGGAAGGGGGTAAGATCCAGATCACGAGATTGGAGAAGCCCGAGCCATCGCCGTTTTAGTGACGATGATGATGACTTGGACTCGTTGCGATCCAGATCACCATACTATCACAGAGAAGGAGGACGAGATGAGTGGAGAAGCAACTCCTCCAGGAGACGCCGTCGTTTTAGGTCCAGGTCTTTATCAAGAGGATTGAGAAGGCGTTATCATATTGATGGTGATTATCATAGAAGAGAAAGGAGTCCGTCAACAACACCTTTGAGGAGGAGGTGGAGGAGCAAGAGCAGGAGCTATGATCATGAAAGCGAGCTTGGAAGGAAAAAGGGTTCTTCTTATAGTAACTATGGTTATGATGATGCATATAATGATAGAAGAGGAGGAGAAAGAAGTCCTTCAAGGCGCAGTCAATGGAGATCACGCCCTAGAAGCATAACATACTTTTCTGGACGGGAGGTGTCCTAATTTCTTCAGTTTGATGTTAGTTTTTACTGCTGGTTGTGTGGAGTTCCAATTCTTTTTTTCCCCTAATTAATTAGGATTCCTTGGATTATTGTTATTATTGTTAAATTATTTGTAAATTGATTTTTTCTTTGTATGATATTGGAAGAACTGTCAATTGTTAGTTCTTTAAAGTTTAAACTTATGTGGCTTTTTTTTTTTACTCTCCAACATTACAAAATAAGTAAAGAAAATGCAATTTGATAGAGATGAGAAAAATGAGGAGAAAAAAAAATAACGCGAACTTTACGTGATTTGACCAGTACAAAGGACATATATACCATACCTAGTTCAAGTTCACAACTAAAAAGATTATTTTTTTAATTGGTATTATATTACTGAGGTATTGGTCCATCTAACTTATTATTTTATTATTTGATCCAACAAATGGAGGGGCTACTTGTAAATTGAAAGCTAGAATTAATATTAACCTCCAAATTCACGAAGGACCAACATTGTTTGCTGGTGAATTTCGAATTTCGATTTTCTATTCTCTTAAAGAGTTTTGTTGGGCGTAAAAATATTTATTCCTTGTTTAACGCACACATTAATCACATAACAACTAAATATGTACCATTATTGATAAAGAGATTGATAAGATCAGTTTGATTCGATTTGATCGATTGATTTCATTCCATTTAGGTAGGGCCATAACTTTTTTTGCAAAATATATAAATACCATATGAGTATCAACCGAATAAACACACACACAAAAAAATCCCCAAAAAAGAATCGCGCGTGCATGAAATTGTAAACTCCTAGTAAGATAGTAGGACTTTTCATCTAAACCAAACTAGAAAATGAACTTTTTGTAATTTTAAAAAAAATTGATAGAAATTCCCATCAAAAGATTTGATTTTTTTTTTTTTTTTGGCTTTCTACGTGTAATCCACTTTGAATTTCTTATACGTGAAAATTAAATGAAAAAAAAAAGAAAACAATCTAGCAAAGTCAACTCTTAGTAAAACCGACTTTATGACACGAGGGAAAACGAAATCTTGAGGTTCTAGGTTTTATATTTTCGTTCCGAATCATTCCACATTGTTATCCGTACTCTCGTCGACAGAGACGGCGATGATGAGGAACACAGAAATCAATACTAACAATAATGGAGTAATATCAATCAACATAAACGTTAACATAAACTTACTGCCGTCTTATAAAGTTAACGTCGGCGGTGAGAATAAGGTCGTTTCTTCCCATGATCAACCCCGAACCATCAGTCACGGCGGCGGCGGCGGCGGCGGCGGCAAGGATGTTAGTGACAGTAATTCCTCCAGATCATACCGTCACGGAGATAATCGAAACGTCCACCGGAGCTCAAGACCTGGTGAGCGGCGGCCGCCGTCAGGGAGACGATCAAGCTCACGTTCCGAAAGCACGAGTAGGAGAAGGAGGGCCAGTTTATTTGACATACCATCACCACCACCGTTCAGTTTCCCCCTTGGCGGCGGCGTGCCGGGACCAGATCTGTCTCGAAAAGTTTATGTGGGCGGACTTCCTCCCACAGCCTACGAGGGGTCAGTATCATCGTTCTTCAGCCATGCTATGGCGGCGATCGGCGGAAACACCGCCGGCCCAGGGGACGCCGTCGTGAACGTTACATAAACTCTGAGAAGAAGTTTGCTTTTCTGGATATGCGCTCGGATGAAGAAGCTAGTAATGCCTTGGCATTAAATGGCGTTGTTTTTCAAGGAGTTCCGGTTGTGGTTCGGAGGCCATCTTGTTACGACCCAAGTTCATCATCTCATCTTGGTCCTACTCACCCTAATCCAAACTTGAATCTTTGTGCTGTTGGGCTTGGCCTCGACGACGTTGGGGATCGTATTTATTTCAGTGGTTTTCCGTATGATTTCGAGGAAACTCAGATTAGGAACCTGATGGAGGGCTTCGGATGTTGGAAATTTTTAGTTTGTAAAATAAAATAATTAATTTAGAATTTAAGGATAATAATTAAATTGTCAATTCTTCACTCGCATGGTGGTTATTTCCTACAAGCCAAGGGTTCTGTACTTAGTTTTGTATCCTTTTAATTCTGCAAGTGTTACCTATAAACAGGTGAACTGGTGCAGGATTTCTAAGCAACTTTTGTATTCCTAAATTCTTGAGAACATTCAATAATTGCAATTCTTGAGAACATTCAATAATTGCAAGTAGCATGTTCTTGTGTTCTTTATGTCTAGAGGCAAATTGCCAAACATACCCGGTATTACAACATGGAGGGGGCAAATATTACTTTAAGGACAGTGTCTAACACGATTAGAATACATCCAAATCTTGTAATTCCCCCATTATTGTTAGATTCAAGTTTCTAACAATAAAGTTCATAAATCTTTCATCTTTATTCTTTAGTGTCTTTTGTGTTGTCTCTTTGATTACCAACCTCATATATTTTCAATCTTAAGACAATATTATAACCATGGATTGATACAAGTATTCAAGGAGACCAGGATCAAAGATGGTTAAAAGCAATGAAGATGGATCTTACAACATAGAGATTTTTGGGTGTGCTCAAAATAGTTTCTCTACGGTTTAGTTCCGTAGTCAAGTTCTGAAAACAGATCTAGAAAGATCTAGAGTATACTCAAACGAGTATACAACAGATATGTTTCTGATTTATATACATTAAATTTGTGTTAAATCTCTGGAATTACAAATTCATAGTAAATTAATCCATGATGATAATTTCAAAGTTTGTAGATTTGTGTTTTTAATTTTGTATTAACCAATCTAGTGTTATGAAAATTATGTGGATTAATTGGTATTTAAGATCTTATAATAATTATATATTGTTGATCTTAAAGCGAATTTTGTTGAAAAAAAATGCAATAAATGTATTTTCATGAATTTCTTAGTTTTAAGAAATGTGAAAGATATGTTGTTATAATTATGTTAGCTTTGGCCTTTATGTGAAAAGTTGTGAATATTTATTATTCAAACTAGTAATGCCAATTGTGTTGAAAAGACTATAGTTATAATATTTGTAATTTTATTGCATGTAAAAACATATTATATTAATGTCCGTCGACCTTATCGTTGGTTAATTTGAGTCGAGAGAGAAATGGACACCTATTGGAATGTGTTACATTTTATGTTTGGATCTGTCAACATAGTCGTCGATCTTGGTAAAGGGGACAGAAAAGTCAACAATTTCATTAGAAAGGCTTGCTATTTTGTTTGTCGACTTTGTCTCCGATTATGGTAAAGTTGATAGAAAAGTCGACGTTCATTAGAATAGTTTGCCATTATGTTTTGTCGGCTTTGTTGTTGATCTGATAGACTTGACAGGAAAGTTGACGACAGAAGAACATAACTATATTCCAATAATTTTTGTGACATTTTTTGTTCTGAAAATTTGATACTATGTGTATGAAACTATATGTTTTATGCAAAAATATGGTTATGGTGAAACGAAATCGATAATTTTTATGAAAAGTTGTGATTTCTTAATTTTGGATGACTAGAGGCATGTTAAGAATATAAAACTCTATGTGCCATAGCAATGCTATACTAGTGAGTTTAAGCAGCCAAAAAGTTTGTGGAATAAATATTATTAAATACTTATCATGTGTACAATTAAACTCCTTAGAGACTAAATTGTCTCCATGTGGAATATTGAGGGGGAGGGGGGAAATTGTATTGTCGAACATAAAAAGTTTAATGTGACACTACATATTGTAGTGTTCATTATTGGGACCAAAACACTTAAGTGTGTGGTTATATGAACACTAAAGTATCCAAACTACTTATCACTGATTATAATGTATTAATATAATCAATGGATGTAGATTTATTTAAAATTTATTTTTAAAGTTTCTAAACCAAGTAGCTGATATATCATCTAGTGAACCTCTGAGTTTCCAAAGTGCAAGTGGTGCAATGAGTGAACCAAAGAGAAATACAATAATTTTCTGGTTTAAGCAAAGTATAAATTTTATGAAAGTTGTATCCTCTAAGGTTACTGTCTTCCTAGTGAGAGTAATAAAATACTCTACTAAGTAAAACTTTATGATGTTTTTTGTGGAGTAAGTTCTCTTGGAAGTTGTATCCTCTAAGGTTACTGTCTTCCTAGTGAGAGTAATAAAATACTCTACTAAGTAAAACTTTATGATGTTTTTTGTGGAGTAAGTTAATAACAATGAGTTTTTTGAATTTTAGGCTGATGCATTTGGAAAGAAGATTTAATCATAGAATGGACTTGACATTGTCTAACGATGTATGTGTCCAAATTGATTTAACTTGAAAGGTTCTAGACTAGTACATTATAAATGGTTATTCTATTAGTATAATATTGTTGATAGCAAGAGATGTCAATAGTATATTTGGACTGGAAGTGTCATGATTGCTTTGGTTAGTTTGACTTGCATAATGTATCCTACTAGCTAGAAGTTTCCATTTAAGTTTTTCATGTTCACCGGTGAAATATGTAAAGTATCATCTTAGTGGAAACTTTACATATAAGTCATGTAAGTCACCACTAAGATGATACTTTACATATTTCACAGGTGAACATGAAAAACTTAAATGGAAACTTCTATCTAGTAGGATAAATTATGCAAGTCAAACTAACCAAAGCAATCATGACACTTCCAGTCCAAATATACTATTGATATCTCTTGCTATCAACAATATATTAATAATGGAATAACCATTTACAATGTACTAGTCTAGAACCTTTCAAGCTAAATCAATTTGGACACATACATTGCTAGACAATGTCAAGTCCATTCAATGATTAACTCTTCTTTCCAAATGCATTAGCCTAAAATTCAAAAAACTCATTGTTTTTAACTTACTCCACAAAAAATATCACAAAGTTTTACTTAGTAGAGTATTTTTATTGCTCTCACTAGGAAGACAGTAACCTTAGAGGATACAATTTCTAAGAGAATTTTCATAAACTTTAGACTTTGCTTAAACCAGAAAATTATTGCATTTCTCTTTGGTTCACTCATAGAACCACTTGCACTTTGGAAACTCAGAGGTTCACTAGATGATACATTAGCTGTTTGGTTTAGAGACTTGAAAAACAAATTTTAAATAAATCTATATCCATTGATTATATTAATACATTATAATCAATGATAAGTAGTTTGGATACTTTAGTGTTCATATAACCACACAATTAAGTGTTTTGGTCCCAATAATGAACACTACAATATGTGGTGTCACATTAAACTTTTTATGTTCGACAATACAATTTTCCTCCCCCCTTCCATATTCTACATGGATACACGTTAGTCTTTAAGGAGTTTAATTGTACACATGATAAGTATTTAATAATATCTATTCCACAAACTTTTTGGCTGCTTAAACTCACTAATATAGCATTGCCATGACACATAGAGTTTTATATTCTTAGCCAAACTATTTGTTATTTATTAAATACTATTTCATTTTACCAACTAAAGTAATTTTAGACTAGGGATTTACATGCAAAACGTATTAAATATTTTATTCACTATCTTCACTAGATAAACCTGTACACAAATATGAGCAATTATCTATAAAAGTGATAAAATATCTTGTATTCCTTGGTTTAAAATTATTAAATTCACATACAACAAAGTGTTGTACCAGCAATAACTTCCAATTTTTGTTTGAAATTAATCTTGCAAGTTGCAACCATGGTTTATGCATATGTTTCACATTTTTATTATTAAGGCATTTGACACTAATTAATTTATATCTTATGCAGATATACAATACCTTAGAAGTCACAAATAATAAAAATGTCGAAGCATAATATCATATCAAATGCATTGATATTGAACGTAACAATGCAAAAACAAGCATTGTCAATTCAAAAAAACTTCATTGCAAAAATAATGCTTGGTTATCAACAAAAGGTCACAACCTTAATATGTCATTTGGATGACTAGACATGACTTTCACTCGTGTCTTTTCACTTTAATCAATTGACTTATTTATTCGAATATGTCTTTTCACTTGGAACCAGTAGACAAATGCTTTCCTTTGTGTCTTATCACTTAGAGTCAATAGATACAACTTTAGTTTGTATCTTTTTCTTAGACTTGAACTCACAAGACAAAAACATTTAACATGCCTCTAGTCATCCAAAATTAAGAAATCACAACTTTTCATAAAAATTATCGATTTCGTTTGACCATAACCATATTTTTGCATAAAACATATAGTTTCATACACATAGTATCAAAATTTCAGAACAAAAAATATCCCAAAAATTATTGGAATATAGTTATGTTCTTCTGTCATCAACTTTCCTGTCAAATCTATCAGATCGACAACAAAGTCGACAAAATATAATGGCAAACTATTCTAATGAACGTCGACTTTTCTATCAACTTTACCATAATTGGCGACAAAGTCGACAAACAAAATAGCGAGCCTTTCTAATGAATTGTTGACTTTTCTATCCCCTTTACCAAGATCGACGACTATGTTGACAGATCCAAACATAAAATGTAATACATTCCAATAGGTGTCCATTTCTCTCTCGACTCAAATAACCAACGATAAGGTCAACGGACATTAACATAATATGTTTTTACATGCAAAAAAATATAAATATTATAATTATAGTCTTTTCAACAGAATTGGCATTACTAGTTTGAATAATAAATATTCACAACTTTTCACATAAAGGCCAATGCTAACATAATTATAACAACATATCTTTCACATTTCTTAAAACTAAGAAATTCATGAAAACACATTTATTGCATTTTTTTTCAACAAAATTCGCTTTAAGATCAATAATATATAATTATTATAAGATCTTAAATACCAATTAATCCACATAATTTTCATAACACTAGATTTGGTTAATACAAAATTAAAAATACAAATCTACAAACTTTAAAATTATCATCATGGATTAATTTACTATTAATTTGTAATTCCAGAGAAAACATTTAACACAAAGTTAATGTCTATAAATCAGAAACTTATCTGTTGTATACTCGCTTGAGTATACTCTAGATCTTTCTAGATCTGTCTTCAAAACTTGACTACGAAACTAAGCCGTAGAGAAACCATTTTGAGCACACCCAAAAATCTCTATGTTGTAAGATCCATCTTCATTGCTTTTAACCATCTTTGATCCTAGTCTCCTTGAATACTTGTATCAATCCATGGTTATAATATTGTCTTAAGATTGAAAGTATATGAGGGTGGTAATCAAAGAGACAACACAAAAGATACTAAAGAATAAAGATGAAAGATTTATGAACTTTATTGTTAGAAACTTGGATCTAACAATAATGGGGGAATTACAAGATTTGGATGTGTTCTAATCGTGTTAGACACTATCCTTAAGACGATATTTACCCCCTCCATGTTGCAATACCGGGTTTGTTTGGCAATTTGCCTCTAGGACATAAAGAACACAAGAACATGCAACTTGCAATTATTGAATATTCTCAAGAATTTAGGAATGTAAAAGTTGCTTAGAAATCCTGCACCAGTTCACCTATTTATAAGTAACACTTGCAGATTTAAAAGGATACAAAACTAAGTACACAACCCTTGGTTTGTAGGAAATAACCACCATGCAAGTGAAGGGTTGCCAATTTAATCATTATCCTTAAATTCTAAATTAATTATTTTATTTTACAAACTAAAAATTTCCCATTCGTGGGTTTGAACTAGTTAAAGACACTAAAACAGGCCAGTCAAAGGGATGTGGGTTTTTTGCGTATCAGGATCCATCCTTTACCGATACAGCTTCTTCAGCTCTTAATGGGATTACTATGGGTTGTCAAGCTCTTATTGTTCAGCGGGCTAATTATTCTTCACAACCGAAAACTGTGTCAAAAGACGTCGACGTAACTCATCCTTCGCAGAAGGAGCTCATGTGGACAGTTGATGATGATGATAATGGTAAAATTTCCAGCAACTCTAGGGTCTTGTGTATGACATGTGTGGTTAGTAATGGAAGAAATGAGTTTGGATATTTATTGGAAGAAATGAGATTAGCGTGTGGAGAATTTGGCAATTGGGTGAAATTTGTTATTCCCGGTCCTGTTGGAGGTGATCCCAGCGTTGGAAAGGTTTTTGTTGAGTATGAAGATGCTGGGGTTGGCTGCAAATGCACGAGAAGGTTTGAATGGTGGGGTATTCAAATGGATGTCTGGTTGGATTCCGGTGGTGGCCGACTTTTATCCCAGCACCTATTCTCACGAGGGGATTTTCGGTTTAGAGTTTAGGGCATTTGTGTTTTTCGAAATATATGAGAATAGTTTTATCTTATATTTTTTTTTTAAAAAAACTGTATACTTGTGAGCCACACATTTATAATATGTGCTAAGATGCGATTGCCTCATAAATCTTGAAATGAAATTTAACACAACCGTTGAAATTTGTTGATTTATTGCACGAATACTCGAATAACAATCCTTCTAAACATTTATGATTCGATGGACAAATACATATTGTTTAAGGCATCTATAACTATTCTATTAAGAATACCAAAAAAATTAAAAAATAGGCATCAAAATTACCTAATGCTAGATGATTTGGACCTTCATAATCCATTGGGATTGTTGCCTTTGTTGAGACTATGCTAAATCTTTAAGTAGTAATATTTGTGTATTTTTCTCATGATGAATTTAACTAAGTAGTAAGGTGTCCCATACTATTTACTTTAGTGTTTAGTTTCTAAATTCATCTTATAATATACTATAAATAATAATATATTCCGAAATAGTGTACTATATGACGGGACCATACTCACTTAGGAATTTGACCGATGACCCTATAAAAGTTCACCTAATCCATCATATGTACCAAAGTATTTGCTGCTATGATAAAATTTGATAACCTTATCTTTTGCAAAGTTAATTTTCAGATTTACCTAAAAACTTTCATTATGTCTAGTGTTTCAAAATTCTCACAATTTGAGAAAAGGATAACCATAACATAAATAAACACTGTATAAGTCTGTAATAACATATGTTGCATCATTCTAATAAGCCATATAGAATGACACACACACACACACACATATATGTATATATAGATATATATATATATATATATATATATATATCCATATGTATTGGTTTTAAGACATCTGAAGACTTTTGCTAACCAATCTCTTTCTGTTTATTTATTTTTACTTAGAGAACTCTACTCAGATTTTGGAATCTGATAAGTCAAGTGGATTGAAAATCCTTTTTTTTTTTTTTGTCTAAAGCATGTACCTTAAACAGTTTTGCTAAACTGATACAAAGTTCCTATTACTAAATTTATCTCTTTTTTTTGTACCACATAAAATTGGCATGCAATACATGTTTGGTTATTCCACTTGATGGTCTTATGTAAATAAAGGTTATCATGACCTAATAAAAAGCTGAATTGAGTTTCTTTGAATTTTGAAAGAGACTAACAGTCTGTAACCAAAAAAAACAAATGTAACCAAATTTTGTTCAGTGTGAAAAAATAAATAGAATTCCGTCCAAAAGATATTGCCATACAAGTATCTTCCAAACCCAAATAAAATCCAATCTTTTAATAATAACCTAAAAACTTTATTGCCTCAAACGTTATTGTCTCTCCAATACTCCGTATAGATGTGTCTTTCAACATCAATTAGATTTTGGTGATTCAAACAACCTTGTGTAGATATATTTATGTGAGCAATATCACCAGAGCTCCCCCAATAAGTATATTTAGGTACCAAAGTCAAATGAATCTTAAAATAAAATTAAAATGAATCAAATGAATCTTAAAATGAATCACAATGGCCAGATAGTTTCTTATACGTAAAGCGTTGCAATTGACACATCGCTGCCTTATATTAGAAGTACGATCACTAAAGTAGCAAACAAATTTATTTTTCAAATTTTGCCATTTTTGTGATTCCTCATGCCGCAACTCAATTGTTTTTCTTTTCCTATTTCTTTACTTTTTCTAAATTTTAAATATAAATGGGCACCAATGATCATCTCTACCTTTAATCTTTGTAGACAAAAAGAAAATGAGCTCATCAATGTTTCTAACTTAATCGTATGTGTACGACATAGATCCAGCTAGCTTAATGTACTAGCAAGTTGTCAAACAACTTTAACTTTAGTGTTTTAGGTTTAATTCGCAATGATTTTTTTATAGAACACTAAAGTACAAACAGGCGGCTACACCACATATATAGAAAAGGCATGTTAAAATAAAAGCTAAGAAACTTAATATAAAACGACCACAATAACCTCACCAATTAAAACCCTAATCCCTTCGTCACATAACTAAGCCCAATTTTGCTGCCCCTCATCGTGCATGATTCCCTCCAAACGGTAAACCAATTATATTAATGTACACCCCTCCTATTTTTGCACTACCAGTTTTTATTGTACTTTTTTCTCAACTCTTCCTTATTTTGCAAATTAAGTCTATGTCTCTTTTTTCTTTCTCCTACAAAAAATATGTCTAATCTTCAAATGAACATAACACTCAATCCGTAGAAAATTAGAAAAATTGTTAGACATGAAATTTCTTATATTCGTCGAGATCTATCCAACAAGATCCATATCGAATATTTTTCTCGAGCTTAAAAATGATCAAATTTCTTCAGGCAGAATTAAGATAGATATCCAATTTAAAAAGATGGATAATCAACTTATTTTATATTAATATTGTTGTATTACATATATCTTTTAATCAGTAAAGAATTTGAACACGAATTATATATGAAATTTATAGTGCTTGACGAGATCGATCCTATAAGATCAATATTGAATATTTTTTTGAGCTTAAATGCATTTAAATTTTACGGGCAGAAGTGAAGAAATATATTTTCTTCTCTGAAAAATGGTTATCTGTTATATTCATACTGATTATCCAATCGATTTAGACTGATTATTTATTTTGTTTGTACTGGTTATCGAATCATATTTTTGGCATTCACTCCCCTTCAAAAAAAAAAATTTAGATAACCGTTACAAACATTTGGATAACCAGCGAAAATAATTGGATAAGCAGTACAAACTGGTTGGATAATCGGTAAAAAATAATTGAACAATCATTTACATAAAAAAGATTGGATAACCATCACCAAGAAGTTAGATAATCAGTATGAACACTTTGGACACATATTTTCTCAATTAGAAAATGAAAAAAAAAATTCTATTTAGATAATCAGTGAAAACAATTGGATAACCAATACAAAACAGTTGGATAGTCAGTACAAAAAAAAAAAGGACAAGAATTTTCGCAAAGAGTTGAGAAAAAAATGGTTGAATAATCTATACCATTCAATTGGATAATCAATATGAACATGTTGAACCACTATTTTTTAAAAAAAAAAAAAAAACTCGGTTGGATAAGCAGTACTAATTAGTTAGATAATCAGTATTAAGATATTGGGCAATGATTTTTTCCAAAGAAAAAAAAAGATTGGATAACCAATACAAACAAAATGGATTATCAGTTTAAACATACCGAATAATCAGTATGAACACAATGGATAACCATTTTAAGGAAAAAAAATTAGGTTGGATAAGCAGTACCAATTAGTTGGATAACAAGTACAAACATATCAGATAAGTATTTTAACAAAAATAAAAAAAAAAACTGGAGAAACAATAGCACGGGGTCGGATAATCAATACAAACACATTAGACAAGTTTTTTTCTCAAAAGAAAAAAAAATGATTGGACAAACAATACCAACTTATTTAGACAAGCAATATACCCTGCAAGTGCAACATAAATGGTTTAACCGGCCTATTCAAAAACCCATTTCAGAACGGAAGAACAAAGCAAATCTTTCATTTGTTCTTCAGTCAAGTACCTATAATCCAAACAATTCAGGGGAATCCAAACAATTCAGGGGAAGAAGATCAAATTTTGGATAATCCTCACTCTAAGTTTCGATTTAGTATTTATGAAGATAAGTCTTTTATTTCATTGGAAATTTTTAGATTGAAAGAGATCTTCAACTGTGAGCCCCAATCGAACAAAAGCTTCGGATAAATTGATTTGAGTTTGACGGTTCTTACTCTGGGTTTTCGATTTAATGCTCCTCCGATTGGGATAATTATTCTATTTTGCAAAGAGTTTCCTTCGAATCCATTCCCGCTGGAGCCGCCATAATTTATTGAAATTTCTTCTCTGCATTCCTTTTCGGCAACAACGAGGCCATCTCATCTTCACCTCTACTTAGATATGTCAGAGAACCATGGCTGCTTTGAGACGTCGGAGAACTATCATTTGCAGGTATTTGGTTTAGTTTAGTTCTACGGTGAATAATGGAGAAGAAGATTTCAGTTAAACTGTTTCTTTCAGGAGTCAAAGGATGTATATGTAATTTAACTTTAAAAAAAGTCAAATTGGACAATAATTTTGGGATAAATTTTTTTGACAAATTGGACAATAATTTTAGGACGGAGGGAGTATATGTAGTCCAAAACCAGATTTACCTTCGGCTGTTGACTATTGTCAACTAGCGTCAATGATTTTCCCTTTCTGCATGAGCGCAATATTTCCATCAAACTTTGATTAATTAAAACATAACAACCTAGGGAGTGACGAAGTCTATAGATTCCAATATAGATCATATTCAGTTTTTTAAATTTATATTTAAAATAATATAATATCACAAAACTCATTTTTAGAACAGAAGAAATACTATTATTGTAATAATAATTATAAGGTTGGCCTGAATTAAGTAAAGCTAGGGAGACAGTTGGATTTTTCTTCCACAAGCCCCTTCTCGAACTTCTTATAATAATTAATATAATAATCCCACAATTTCAGCAATATAAATTTATTAGCCAGTTTTGTAATTGAATTAATTTTATTTCTCGACTTATATATAGGCTTCTGTAGCCTCTAGGGTTTTTCCAAACTCGTTCCACGTAGCCGTCAGCAAGGGATAAGGAATACTACTAGTTCAGAAGAAGCCATGGAAGAATCGAGCACAATATCAATCAATATCAACGTGACCATACAGGTCCCGCCGGGTGTCAAAGTCCACGTCGTCAGCGGCAGTACCGTCGTTTCTCCCAGGGGTGGAACCAGGGGGGAATCAGGAGGGTCGGTCAACCACCCGGCCGGCCGCCAAACATTTAGGAGCTTTTTTCCGCCGCCCAATGATTGTGCTGTATTTTCCATGGCTGGCCCTCCAGCAGCTGCTGGAGACGACGGAAGAAGAAGACTATGAACTATGAAGGGCATTGTCTATTTTTCTTTCCTGCCGAAGAGGTTGAAATTTC